GGGGAGGTGGCTTCCCCTGAAGAACATGCTTTGGGTCCTCGAGATGGCTGCAAAGTGTCTGGGCCAGCAGGTTCCTAAAGGAAGATTCTTTTGCGGTTTGCTGGGCTCTGCAGCCATGAGAGCTGGAAGTCTGCCCGGAGCCTGGCAGGGGACTCCTGGGAGTTCGGGGGCATCACTGAAGCCCCCGCAGCTGCCAAGTGCAGACGGTAAGCCAGGGAAACCCTGGTGGGTGGGTCCCTAAGGGTCCCCAGGCTCCATGATGGGAGCAGCAGAGGAGCTGCTCCTGGCTGCTGCTCTCAGGGTCCAAGCCTCACTGTTCAGGAGAGTTCCAGAGCCCCAGAGATACCTGGCCCAGCCTGGTGAGTCCAGTCCCTGCTTCTGGCTCAGACTCCACCTAGTGCCCAAAGCTGGCTGTGATGGGCACAAATGGCACAGTGAACATTACTTGTCCCTTGCTTTCTTGGAGCTGTTTATATAGGAGAGTGTTGTGGCTCGTGGGGCTGCCTGGAGGTGGTGGCACATGTCTTCATGGAGGGGTTTGACTGCCTCCAACAGGAGCCCCTGGAAGGTGCAGACCATCTGTCACTTAGGGCATGTTTGGGGGAGAAGACAGAAGGACCCAGAGAGGCAGAAATGAGGGGAGAGGGAGGACACCGGCGGGGGAGGAGTTGGTAAGTGGCATGGACAACGCAGAGCAGCTGCAATGGGCACTGGGCAGCCCCGCGTGGCTGGGGCCAGGATGACCAGGACAGTGTCTGTCTGTCTTGGCTAGGGGAACACCAGCCTTTCCCTCCACCTGGCCAACAGCCCTCCTGTGCCCTTGCCTCCCCCGGTCCCCGCTGAGAACGGCAGCACCAGCCTCGCACAGGGACCGCGGCGGTCCCCTCTCTTCCCCTTCGTTCCTCTGTGCCCTTCTGAGCACGCCTCCGCCTCGCTGCTGTCAGAAAGCCCAGGTGTCCACCCTGTGCCCTGCACAGTGGGGTGGGTCCCCTTCCCTGCTCCTAGAGCCCTGGGCTTCCCGTGGTAGCACTTGTCACTGTGTCCTGGAATTGCCCTCCTGAGTCCACGCCCCCAGTGACTGTAGGTTCCAAGGGCAGGGCTGGTCATTCTGGCGTCTGCTGTGTGCTCAGAGCCTAGCACAGTGCGGCACGCAGTAGATGCTTTTCTGAGTCTGTTCCGGCTGCTGTGACAAATGACCACAGACTGGGTAGCGTATCAGCAACAGAAAATTCGTCCTCACGGGCTGGAGGCTGGAAGTCTGAGGTCAGGGGGCCGGCACCGTCGGGTTCGGCTTGCAGACTGCCGACTTCTCGCCGTGTGCTCGCACAGGGGAAGGGCGAGGCAGCTCTCTGGGGTCTCTTTGATAAAGGCACTGATCCCACTCAGGAGGGCCACCCTCATGACCTAATCACCTTCCAAAGGCCCTACCTCCTAACACCATCGCATTGGGATTAGGGTCCCAACATGAATTTTGGGGAGACACAAAGATTCAGTCCGTAAGAGTGAGAAGAGTGCTCAATGAGCTGCCTGCGGAGTGACTGTCAGTGAGCCCACCGGGCCAGCTCACGCCCCTGGAGCCCCGCTTGGGGCTGGCTGCAGCCAGGGTCCACGTCTGCAGTGGCGCCCACTGCCCCTTCCCGGAGCAGGCCTGGAGCCGGCCCTGTCCCTCCTGTTCCCCGTCGGGGTCCCGCCTGCCCTCCCAGGATATCGTGAGACTTCTGCGCCCACAGGCCCTTTGCTTCTGCCAAATTCCACCTTCTCCAAATAAACGCCTCTTTCTCCCTGACCTTGCCCTGATTCTTCCTGCCTCCATGGTGCCCATGTGCTGCAGGAAGGGTCCTCCAGACCCCCTCACCTTGGGAAGAGGGATCCCCCAGAGGACTGCCTTCAGCCAGAGGCCTGGGCTGCTCCTGTGAAGAAGTGTGTTGGTGTCTCCTCGTGTGCACGGAGTTTGCATCCTGACTCCCGCACCTGATAACTGTGACCTTGAGAAAGCATGGAACCTTTCTGGGCCTCGTTTTCCTGTACTGACCGCAGCTGATGAGAGATCGCCTATGTGTGCGGCTGAGGGCTTGGCTGGTGCGGGATACTCGTGGGGCTAGTCCAGCTCCGGCTCAGCCTAGGTGGGGCCCCCTAAGCTCTCGGGCCTCAGCGTCCTTATCAGCAAACGGGGCTGGGGAACCTCACGTGCAGGGGCGCGGAGGCCAGGTGAGGCAGGAACGCCTGGAGAAAGCCGTGATGGTCCTGCCTCTCCGGTGGTCTCCGCCTTTGTTCCTCCCCTCCACCCCCGAACTGCACCCAGCTGCCACTGCCCCTTGCCCCGGTTGGGCACAGGGTCTGCCCATGGCCAGTGGCAGGGGTGGGAGGGCTGCAGTTGCTCAGAGTGAGAAGGGCAGGCAGGGCCTCACTGAGGTGGGTTGGGGTTGAGGGGAGTACACCTGCCTTGTCCCCCAGCAGCTCAGGTGGGCCTGAGGTTGGGGGGAGCAGGAGTTTTCCTGGCTTTCCAGCCATGCTGCTCCCTGGAGCCCAGGAGGGGCTGCCACCCACCAGGCCACCTGCCAGCCCTGAGTGGAAATGTACCAGGGGAAAGGCCCTGTTGGGACTGCCAGGGAGGGGGTGGGGGTTCCTGCCAGGGAGGGGCGAGAGACAGAGGACCCGAAAGAGCTGGGCATGGGTCCATCCCTACTGCTGCTCTTCCTCCTCACCCCGCTTCTTGGTCAGCCCAAGTTCAAGGCGGGAGGGGGGCATGTTGGTGGACAGACAGGCACCTGCAGAGGCCCAGTGGGGAGGCATCTGTGGCCTCCAGGTCAGCAGGTGACTCCAGAATGTGGAGGCTGGGGTCCCTGGGAGGCCCTAACTGAAAGGGCATGCACGGGTGGTGTCTGCGCCCGTGCTGTTTCTGCTGTGTGCGTGTTAGTGGTGCAGTATCTGTGTATATGCGTGATGTGTGTGCGGTGTGTTTTGAAATGTGTGGTGTCTGTGTGTGGGGTGTCTTTGTCGGGGGGTGCTGTGTCCCCGTGGTGCGCGTGTGTATGCTTGTGGTGTGCCGGTCGTGCTGTGTGTGTGTGTGTGTGTGTGCGTGTGTGTGTGTGCTGTGCCTCTCTGTATGGGGTGTGTGCGCGCGTCCCCATACTGAGAGGCACGTGTGTCTCCGTGTATGAGAGCCGGGAGCGCGGGACGTGGGGCTCTGCGTCCTCTGGACACAGACTCCATGTTTGAGGTTTGTGGTCTGCGGAGGAGGGAGGGGAGCGCTGCGCGGACGGAGCAGGGAACGGGCAAGGGCGCTGCGGCATGGGGCGAGCCGGGGCGAGCGGGAGGGAGGCTGGCCGGGACCCTCCTGCCCGCGTGGCGCCCCCAGCTCTCCTGCAGCGCCCCCTGCGTGGCCCCGTCCGGGGAAGGGCTGGGCGAGCGCGGGCCCGAGGGTGGGCCGAGACGCCACCGGGATTTCCGCGGCCGCCTCCCCGCGCGCCGAGCGCTCCTCGCGGACTCGGCCTCCAGTGCTCGGCACTGCGCGCGGCTGCAAGCTTAGCAGTTCTGGGTTAACAACAAAGCGAGACAGAGAGAAGCTGGGGCTGGGGCGGCGCCACTCCCCCCAGGCAGGGCCGCGAGTGCGGGCGGGCGCGAGGGGGCCGCGAGCTGGAGGGGGCGGCAGGCGGGCGCGAGCGCGCGGGGAAAACTTTCCGACCCCGGCGTGAGAGGCTGAGAAGTTTCGGCTGCGCCGGGCGGCGCCAAAGCCAGGCCAACACTGCCCCCGCGTGGGCGCAGCGCGGCGCGGCAGCCGGCTGCGGGCGGGGCCCCGGCGCGGCTCGTGGGGGAAACTGAGGCAGAGGGGGCCGCTCAAGGCTACCGGGTCGAGGTGCCCTTGGGATTCCTCACTGGCCCTCTGGGGCAGAACTCCCACTCCAGCCCCCGCGGAGGGGCGGTTGTAGCCTGGCCCCCATCCCGCCCTGAAGGGCTCGTGCCAGATCTGTCGCCTTTCTTCCGGAGCCAGGGGGCCGGCTCACAAAAGGCCTCACCCAGCCACAACCCACCCAGGCCCACGACCACCCCCCGACCCCAACCCACCGGCAGCCGCCCATGCCTTTGCTGTTAAAACGGGGCACCCGCGTGGGTTCCACGGCTGTTTCCTGCCTGGCCAGGAGTTGGCGATAAAGAGTCAGATCCCCGGCAATGGCGAGGGGAGGGGGGCAAAGGGCAGCTCCGAGGAGAGGAGTGGGCTCAAACTTCATCCAGGAAGACAGGTGTGGCAGGGGTCTGGGGGTGCACTGGGGGTGCTGGGTCAGCGCCTGCCGCCTTGTCGTTTGCCACCTGCTGATGCAGATTTAAGGTTGGTCTTGAACTGGGCCGAAGCGACCCTCCTGCCTCAGCCTCCCCAGTAGCTGGGACTTCAGGCGCCCAAAGCTCTCCTGATGCGGATTTGAACATTGCCCCCGACCCTGTGCCCAATCCACCCAGAGGCTTGCCCTCCAGGGCCCAGAGGGTAGGAAAACGGCCAGAAAAATGCAGACAACTAACATTTGTCCACACACACGACTCTTTTCCCTGGGGCTGGTATCTGGATGCCCTCACCCAATAGTAGGAGGTCAGCAACGTAGCGTTTGGTGCCAAAGATGGAGGCTGGCAGGGGAGGGGGCTGGGGAGCTCAGGTCACCACAGGTGCCTGCTTCAGGTGTGGTCTGATCTAGGTCCACAGAGGCTTGGTCCCAGGTTTGAGGTGTGTGGCAGGGTCTCCCACCTTCCAGAAGTGGGGTTCACTTGGAAGGAGCCCTGAACCGTGAGGACGCCTTGGCCCACCCCTCAGCCTCATCCCAGCTGTGATTCCGCACATGTCCTCCCCTGGCCCAGGAGCCCCAAGACAAACAGTCAGGTACCCAGAGAGGCTTGTACCTTGAGACCTAGTGGCAGGTCCCAGCCACCTAGGGTGTGCGTTTATTTGTGGAGCAAGGGAGGACCCTCATTGCCTGGCCCGCGTGGGCCGCTGGGCATGGGTTCGTGAGAGTTCATCTCTCAGCCCGCCGCAGTGTTGTGGTCGGCAGGAGGAGCTGGTACCCCTTGGGGTGGCCTCGCCGCAGGACTGACTGCAGCACCAGGCTGGGCAGGAAAGACTCCTATAATGAGCAGGAGGACCAGGTGGGTGCTGCCGGGACCTCAGGGCAGGGGATGGGGCTCCCTGGGCCCAGCAGACTCTACCCCACAATGCTAGGGCACAGGCCCAGCTGTCAGCCCCATTTTACAGATGAGGAAACTGAGGTGTAGAAAGGCCCCACCACCTGCAGGTGGGGTGCCGGGATCTAAATCCAGGAGGCCCAGCTTAGAGACCACCCCCTTGACTGCTGCACTTTGAGGGAGATGGAGGTACACAGGCCTGGCCACCGCAAGCTCCCCGGTGACTGAGTGTGCAGGGAGGGCATACCCAGCCCTGGCCACCCCACTGAGCAGGGCTGCTAGTAGGTGCTCACCAGCTTAGGACCCAAGGAGCAGGGCGATTTGCCCACCTGCTCCAGGATGTTGTGGGTGTCTAGTAAGGTTTGGAGGCCCTGCCGCCGCCTCTGGGTGGTGGCCCTAGGGATGAAGGGCAGGCTGCTGTTCATGGAGGTGTCCTCAGAAGATTGGCCCTGAGGCTCCTGGGTGGGCCTGGGGAAGACAAGAGCCCATGAGCTTTGTGGATGCTAAGTCCCAGGCCCACCCTGGGCTGACACGGCCCTTGAGGAACCAGACTGGCAACCTGCCCGCTGCTGGATAGGGAGGTCTGAGGGCAAGGATGGGGGAGCCCTGGCAATGCTCTTGAGTCCTGTCCCGTCCCCAGAGCCTCACAGGCTGGGGAAGTGCCAGCTGGAGGAGCTGGTCAGGGCCTCCTCCTTGGCCCCAGGGTACAGGGCTTTGGGCAAACTCTCCAGCCATCTCCCCACACTCCCGAACAGCCGCTCGGACACCGCCGGAAGGGTGCACGTCTGGTTCTCAGTGACGTTCTGCCGGACTGGAGGAGAAAGGGCAAGGTGAGATCCCAAGCCGGGAGGGGGACCCCTGGCGCCCCCTCTCTCCCCTCCTCCCTCTGGCAGGCAAGGCCAGGCAGAGCCCTGTCTCCATGGCAACCCCAGGCTCCCCAGTGCCTTCTGGCTGCCTCCAGAGAAGGCTCGGGTTTTAAAACTATCCTGCGTGACTCTTCTGCTGTTATTACCCAAGCTGTGCCCCGCCCCCCACTAACCCACTCCTGCTCCAGCCCAAAACAGGCCCCCTTGCCCGCAGTGGGAAGGCCAGTCACCCCCCTGCGGAGGTCCCAGAGCGGATGCTGAGAATGCTGAGAGGTGGAGGGAGGGCTGGCTCAGGGTTGGAAGCCTTTCCTGCCCAACAGCTGCCTCAGGAACCCCGAATTCCCCAACAGCTGCCTCAGGATGGAAAGGGCTGGGGAGCAGCAGACCGAGCTCCGCATCTCCTGCGGACCTGGTGCCCTGGGGTAGGACCACAGGTCCTCGTGACAGCAGCCGACACTGTCATCTTCCATATGAGCCAACGTTTGCGTAAAATTGTTTCTCCTGGGCTTGTCCTGTCTTGGACTCCCAAGAGTGGCCTGACTTCTATGTAACATACACAAGCCCCTTCTGCTCTTGGGGCCTTGGTTTTCCCATCAAACAGTCGGAAGTTGGGCAAAGATCACAGCTTCCATCCCCAACTTCCTGCGATTCTAAGCCAGCTGGGCAGGATCCCTCCCGAATCAAGGTCCTGGATTTGTAGGGCTTTACCCACAGCTAGGCTTTGGGGCACCCATTTCTTGAAACTGCACGTAGTAGGTGCTCAATAAATAGCTGCAGGATGTTGCCCATTGGAAGCCCTGGAGGCTCCTGGGTGCTGAGCAGAGAAGAGGCTGGGCACACAGAGAAAGGTGGAGCTCAGGGCAAGGACGTGCTCTTCTGTCTGCCTCTCAACACCCACTCAGAAAGCTCGCTGGGGAGTACACAGAACAGACGCCATTACTCCCATGCCTGGTGGCTCTTAGCTCCTTTGCTGGACTAGGCAGTGGCAGCCGTCCCCAGAAGAGAGAAGGTTCCTCTTCTCGACCTTCCTGGGTACCTCCTCAGCCAGGCTTCTGAGGGGTGCCTTCATGGGTATGGGAGGAAGGTGCTTCCAGTGGCTTCTGGCCCTTCCGGAGGAGCCCCTCTAGGCTGTGTGTGTAGGGGGCACAGACGTGGGCTTGGGAAGCCGTGGGTGCTGGTTCCAAGGTGGGCAGATACAGTGTGTAGAGACCCCTTGGAGCAAGAAGTCCTTTAGTGGCCAGACCTGGATGGCTGTTGTTTCCTGGGCCACCACTTCAGCTGCTCCCTGGTGCCACCCACCTTGGGATACCTCTGCTGGACCCCAGACCCTCTACTTGGTGCTTGAAGGTCACCCCGACATCCTCCAGGGAGGCCAGTTCGGGTACTTCCTCTGCAGGGTCAGTGATCTCTTGGCCTTTGCAGGCTGGCCCCTCACTCTGGGGGCCTAGGGCCACAGTCTCTGCCCTCCCAGCTCCAGGCTGGAACTTTCTGGAGTCCCGAGGCTCCCCATCCTGTCTGCCTACCTGCACAGCTGCGCTCCCAGTAGCGGAGTGCCGTGTCCCATAGGGTCTCGTCAGCGAATCGAACCCGGAAAGGGCAACACCGCCTGCGAGGCCCGGAGGCCTCCCCTGAGGGGCTTTGAGTGAGCACAGCCTTAACCTTGGGGACCTGTGCACCGTGGGGCCTGCTGAGAGAGGTGAGAGGGGCAGGGGTAGCCAGGGCCCGAGCCCAAAGCCCCCTACTCCACCCGACACCACATCCCCTAGACCCAGACTCGCAGTGTGATCCTGTACGCGTGACCTTGTCTGGTCTGTAAGATGACGCCATGGCATAATGCCAAGCACAGCAGCCAGCCTCTACTGAGCACCTCCTACCTGCTTGGCAATGGATCACGCACGTAACACGCACCATCCCACCCAACCCAGACAGCCCCCAGGAAACGCTATCATTATTCCCATTTTATAGGCGAGGAAACTGAGGCATAGAGACTTTTGCAACTTGCCCAAGGTCACATGGTGACCAAGATGGAGCCAAGATTTGCGTTCTGGTTCCAGAGCCAGCACCCTGACACACCAGGCGAGGTAGCAGAGGGAATGGGAATGCCAGCTCAGGAGCGACGCAGTCCTGGGTGTCAATCCTGACTCTTTGAGCCTGTTTTCTTCTCTGTAAAATGGGGTGACCACGGTGCCCACTGCACAGGGTTGTGAAGACATGAGCTGCACTGCAGAAGTGCCCAGCCAGGGTCTGCAGGGCCAAGAGTAAACACGTCTGACAGAGCTGTTCCTGTTACAATCATCGGTCTCAATTGTGCCCCGTGTCAACCATGTGACCTTTGGCAGAGCGCCCCCAAGCCCTCATTTTGCAGTTTTCTCCTTTAAATTATTTATCATAGGCACGATAATACCATCCTCACATGAGTTTGGTGAGTAACAAATGACTTCCGTGAGGCGGCTAGTACAGAGCCTGGCACAAGGTTTGTGCTCAGTAAAGGGTATCTGTTATATTTATACGGAATAGATAAAATTGTTCCATTGTTATTAATTTCAGCCTCAAGGCCAAGGCTACGGGAGGGCCTGCTTGATCCACCTATGGTTCTGTTATTCAGAAATGCCACGTCTGACCGTAAGCACACACACATTTATCTATCTGCATCCATTTATCTGACCATATCTTAATGTCTGTGCAGATGCAGAGAGTGCTTTTCATCAGCCCACCAAAGAGCCAAGACGTGAGATGTCTAGGACAATGCCCGGCCACAGGCACTGGGACCCAGGTGTCCAACAATGTCTGCTTATGAGTCCCTGCTCTCTGCTAGCTGCAAGGCCACGCAAAGGCCTGCCCTTGTTCTGCCCACCAGTCTGAAACCTCGGCTTCTCCACTCAAGGGCCACTGGAGCCTGTTCTAATGCAGCCTGGTGTCCCGGGCAGGACCTACCAGGGAATGTCACACATGGTAAGCTGCTCAAGCACTCACTCTTGAATCTGAAAGACTGTGGATGTGTCTGTCTCTGCTTTTGCTCACATTTAAGAGAATGAACTTCTCAGGTTTTTGGTTTTTTTTTTTGAGACAGAGTCTTGCTCTGTTGCCCCGGCTAGAGTGCCGTGGTGTAGGCCCAGCTCACAGCAACCTCAAACTCCTGGGCTCAAGCTATTTATTCTCTTGCCCCAGCCTCCTAAGTAGCTGGGACTACAGGTGCAAGCCACCATGCCGGGCTAATTTTTCTATTTTTAGCAGAGATAGGGTCTCACTCTTGCTCAGGCTGGTCTTGAAGTCCTGAACTCCAGCAATCCTCCTGCCTTGGCCTCCCAGAGTGCTAGGATTACAGGTGTGAGCCACCGCACCTGGCCCATAATTTTTATTATATCTTGTGAGCCATTGTGTGCTTATTTGCCTTGATTGGTTTCAAGTTCCTGGGCTGGTAAATGTGTTTCATTTCTGGTTCCTACTCTGATCCATCCGTGGTGTCTGCCTGGACTACTGTGTCAGGAAGGGTTCTGAGGCTCAGTGGGGAAATGTGCTGTGAGCCAGTGTCTGGCATGGGTACAGGATGAGGAGGAATGGCACCTATGTCATGTGTGTAGTCACCCTGGTCTTTAAACTCACAGGCAGTGCTCTTCACCCTTTACCCCTGCTTAAGCCTGTTTAACCCGGAGGGATTTTTCTGCTTTCTTTCCCCCTCTGTTAGAGCTATGGCATCTAGGCCCAGGTAAGCTCTCATGCCCAGGTTCTTCTCTTACCTCTATTCCTTATTTTATTTCCCCCAGTATTTGACATATAATAAAACCTAATAAAAGTTAGAGAAAGAAATGGACAGATGTTGGTGGGATGGGTAAAAGGATGGAAGACTGGGTGGGTGGGCTGATGGATGGATGACCTAATGGGTGAGTTAGGAGAGGGTCTGAATAGGACTGAATCGTGGGTGGATGGGCAGATGGATGGACGGGTGGCTGGATGATTACGTGGATGGGTATGTAGAACTGTGGGCGGCTTCATGACTAGCTTAGGGGTGGACAGGATCCTCGATTTACAAGTAGATGGAAGGATTTGAAGATAGTTGATCGCTGGATGCACAGATGGGTGGACAGAAGTGTGGGAATTTGTGACTAGGTAAATGACTGGCTGGCTGGATTAATGGATCGAAAGCAGACCTGATTCACGGGTGGGGGGGTGGATGGATGGAGTCATGGGTTCATGATAGATAGATGAATGGATGGATGAATGGAGAGATTCATAAACAGGTTGTAGAAGACCCGGTTCATGGATAAGATGTGTGCGAGGATGGATGGGTGAATGGGAGAATGGATATATGAATAGATTCATGGATGAATTATGAATATGTTGGCAGAAGACCTGATTAATGGTTGGACGGATTCATAGAAGAACTGATGAATGAATTTTGAATGGGTTGGTAGCAGACCTGATTCTTGGATAGATCTATGTAAGGACAGATGAATGGATTCACAGACGGATTACGGAAGCTTCATGAGAAGACCTAACTCATGGATGGACACATGAATGGCTGGATTGACGGATGGACAGGTGGATAAATGGATAAATCCATGGGTGAAAGACAAAAGGAGGGAAGCGAAGACATGCCCTTTCTCCCCCACCCCCACCCATCCCCTCCCATCACCCGTGAGTTGGCAATGGTGAGTGGTGAGTGATCACCCTTCAGAGGCCCGGGGTAGGATCTGATGGAGCAAAATCTTCTTAAGACTATCTTGGAAGTAGGAAGACTGGCCCTTTAAAGACACCTGGGCCACACCTGCCATGAGTGGCCGGGGCCCCTCACCCTGGTAGCATTGATGGCCACCCAGTTCCAACCAAAAAGGGGACTGACACTTACCACAGGTCTGGGAGGAAAGAGCAGTTGGGACACTGATGAGACCTTCGGCAGCGCTCTGGCACAGCCCTTTGATGTCGGGGTGCTGAGGATGCTGCAGCCAGAAATAGGTGGAATAGCTGTGAGCCTTCCCTGGGGAACAGGCCTGATTAGGCCCCTCCTAGTTATATGGCCTTGGGGCGGTGGTGCACCAGGGAGGTGGACCAGGTGGTGGAACATCACAGGGAGTGGCTGTGAGGACTCTGTGAAAGATGCTCAGCTAACATCAGCATCTTTCTGAGCACCAGGGTGGGGAGAACAGGAACCCCAGGGCCCACCTCCCACCCCCCACCGGAATGGCTCGGCCCTGCCCCGCCCCCTCGGGCCCGGCGAGGAGGCCTCACTCAGTGGCTCGGGTGGCTCTGCGCACTTGTCCTGGAGCTGTTGCAGGAACTGCCGGAACCTGCTAGGGAGGAACTCTCCTATGAGGGCGCCCAAGGAGCCGGGGCGCCCCGTGGCCGCGCCCCTCCAGGGGTGCTCGCACTCTCCAGGTCCTGGGCGCCGGGGAGCCGATCCTCGGGGCGCGCTGGCCGAGAGCAGGGGCGGCAGCCGCAGGGACCTCAGCACGCCGCGCTTCTGCGCCGCCCGCGGGGGCTCCGGGAACAGGGCGGGCAGGCGCGGCGGGGGTCCCCCGACGCACCCCCGGGACTCAGCGTCCGAGTCCTGCCACCACGCGGCGCCGGCCCCCGGGACGCTGGAGCCCGCTGCGCTCCGCGTGAGACGGGCCGCTCGCAGCTCGGGCGAGGTCAGCTTGGGCAGCGGCGGGTCTCTCCGTCGGAAGTCGCCGTCGCTGGGGAACCCCTTGCGCGCCTCCTGGGCCCCGGGGTGGAGCGGACGCCGGAACATGTTGCGCCCTGCGCTCCGCTCAGGGCATCCTCACGCCGGCGGGGGCGCGGGGCGCCGTGGGAGGTGGCGGGGAGGGCGCAGGCCAGGCCCAGGCATAGTGCGCGGAGCGGGGACGGCGTGGTGTGGGGGCTCGCGCCACTGGCCGGCAGGCAGTGAGAGGCTCCGGCCAGAGCTCCCTGAGACTCTGTTCCCTCACCTGAAAAATGGTGATGGCGGGAGTACCCACCTTTTTGGGTCGCTGTGACGCTTCAATGAGCGCGTGTGTGTCAGTCGCTTAGAATAGTGCCAGGCACGTTGTACATGCTTAAAGACTGGCTGCCGTTCTTATTATTTTAAAATTATTATTTAGGATTTAGTCTCAGCTGCACTACTTACTAGCTCTGTAGCCCTGGGCGAGTCAGTTAACTTCTCTCAGCCTCCTCTCAGCCTCTGCTCTGTGGAATGGGGATAACGCCCCGCCCGCCTCTTTGTTACGGTGAAACGGGCATCGCGCTGGTCGAGCACCCAGCCTGGGCTGGCGCCTTCAGATCTACGAGGGTTGTCAGCGCTCTGCTGGGAGCTAGGAGACCTGGAACCAGCTGAGAGGATGAGAGACCTGACCAGCAGCCGCCCAATCTAGGTGGCGCCTCAGAGCCCCGAGTGGGGAGCTTGGTGAAAATACAGATGACTTCCCCCCACCTCCCACCCCAGATTCTGAATCAGCAAGTCTTGGGGGGGTGGCGCGCCAACACATATACTTTTAACAAACTCCCCCTTTGGGAGGCAGAACCCCAGTCCCACCCCGAGTTCTGAAGCTGGGGGGGTCTCTGAGCCTGCTTCCTCCCCCCCACACCTAACTCCCAGGTTGTCAGCTTTGAGCTGGTTCCTGGGTGGTGTCACAGTCACCCTGGTGGGGCTTCTGGGTGGGACCAGAGAAGGTCCCGTGAGTTCAGAGCCCCTTAAAAGGTGGGCTAGTGCTGGGGAGAGCCCATCTTCCCTGCCTGGTCCCTCTGCCAGCCCCTCCCTGCTGCGTCCAGGGCCTCTTCAGGGCCATTGTGATCTGTCCCTCACCCTCCCCCGGCCACCTGAGCAGCAGTGGATGCTGAGGCCTGGGGGCCAAGGGCGGGGCTCTTGTGCCCTGGATGCCATGGCTGCAGCCACCAGGGGCGCTGGGACTCCTGACAAGGGCAGCCAGGCCTAAGCCAGGGAGGGAGGGCCCAGAATGGTCCACCCCTTCTAGCTCCAGGAGGCTCGGGTGGGTCATGTTTGGTTCTGTGACTCCGGGAAGTAGAAGTTCTGTCCCCAAACTGGGCAGTAAAAATATTGGAAACTAAGAGACCCAATTTCAAGTCCATGGTCTGCTTCTCTTTGCTGTGTGATGCTGAACACATGCCTTCCTTCTCAGGGCTCCGTGGTAAAATGGACTGATGGCCCTGATCTGTGACTTTTGGCTGGGAAGGGGCCAGGAGAAAGCTCATAGTGTTGTGAAACTCAGGTGGAGAACAAAGATAGTTTAGACGAGTATTTCACTGGCATGGTATAATCTTATAAATTGAAAATGAAAAAATGACTTTGTAATTCAAATTACACAGTGTACTACTGGAGGAGGTATCGCCAAATATGTATTCCATTTTCTGTAAATGCTCCTCAGCCAGGGATGGAGGGGCATACTTCCTTGGGAAGTTAGAAAACTGAGTGGGAGAGGTGGAAATTTTTGTATGTATTTAAAGGGTATGTGAGTTTTAAAAAATGGTTGAGGAACAACAACAGGTGGTTTCTAAGGAGCTCTCTAGCCCTTGCACACGGCAAACATTTATTGAGCAAGTATTAGGTCATAAAATATGAAATGTCTGATTTTGAATCAAAATTTGTAGTTTATTATATCTCAAACAAGAAGCAGTACAATTAATCAAAGTATGCGCCTAAACTATCAACACAGTTTTGCCGTCTTAACGGTAGCTTGTTTATGCCAGCAGCGAAGAAGCCTGGAGAGCCAGCGGTGATGAAATCATGAAAGGCGTTTTCCACAGCTTGTTCAGTATTGAATAGTTTTCCTTGCAAGAAGTGGTGCAAGGTCTGGTGAGTGCAGTGGGTGACAGAGAGTTTCCAAGTCCAGCTTCTGTAGTTTGAGCAGCATTGTGTTGTAAGACGTGTGGTAGAGCGGTGTCTTGCAAGAGCATTGGCCTGTCTCTATTGACCAATCTTGGCTGCTTCATCACAAGCATCTTCATCATTTTGTCCAACTGGTTGCAGCAGACATCTGCTGTAATCGATTGACTGGTTTCATGAAGCTGTAGTGGATAATACCAGCGCTGGACCCCCAAACAGACACCATTAGCTTTTTTTTGATGTTTTGGACTGTGTTTCGGCACTTCATCTTTATCCAACCATTGTGCCAAACGCTTGCCATTGTCTAAAGGAATCCATTTTTCATCACAAGTAAAACAATATGGTGTAGAAATCATTCGCTTTTATGTTGTGACAGCAATGAAAGGCAAGCTGCGAGACGATTTCTCTTCTGATGCTCATTTAACACATAAACTGCCATGTGAGCTGTATTTGAGCCCAGGGCCTCGAGAAGCATATGTAACTCACACGTCTCTTCATCTTGGGATCTGGGAGAACTATTTTTCAAGTTGCATATAACTCACACACAGAAAACAATAAAGAAATAATAAATTTTTCATTAATTGAGGAAGGATCATTTTGTTTTCGAAGTTTTTATTCTATTTTCATAATAAAACACCATGGCCCCAGGGAAAAAAATTTCTTTTCTAGCATGGCAGTCAATGTGTTAATTCATGCAGAACCCATCTATCCAGCTTCTTTACCTTGCTGATTTGTTTCCGATGGTCCAATATTGTTGGAATAGTAACATAAAACCTTGCTGCTAATTCACGCTTCCATTACAGCTTTCAGCTCATCATTGTCCACCTTGGTCTCAGGTCGCCACATGGCTCATTTTCAAGATTAAAATTACCAGAATGGAACTTCTCGAACCATTGAGGAACTGTGTGTTCGTTAGCCACATCCTTCCCAAATGCTTCGTTGATATTTCGAGCTGTCTGAGCTGCATTTATTCCACGACGGAATTCATATTCAAAAATAACATGAATTTTTGACTTATCCATGGTTTCACAAAAATTGCTCTAAAAAAATTTGAAAGATAATCACAGCCAAAACATGCATTTGAAAGACTAAGGATGTACCTTCACAATAAAAAAAAGAGAAATGTCAAAGTGAAATGTCTGAGATATCATCTGTCAAACTCAGTACTTAAGGAAATTGGACTTTCATACTTAATAATCTAATACTGTGTGCTAGGCTTGGGCATTCAGAGATGTGAGAAGCATGGAGCTCAGGGGGCTGTCCAGACCCTGGAAAGGCCTTGGAGCCTGGGTGTGGGGGAAGGGGCTTTCTCTTTCATTGACAGGAAATAAGGTAGGGGTGGACTTTTAGGCATGTGAGAGCTTGGATCAGAGCTGTCCCCCAAAAGAGTATTGTAGACACCCCCCAGCAATTGAATTGCCCAGGATCTATCCCCTTTCCTTACAGACATGGAAAACAAAGCTTGAGAGAGGAGTCCAGACCAGGGGAAGCAAGAATGACCTAGAAGAGTCTAGAGAGAATGCCAAATAGTATGTACATAAACAGATTTTGGGGACTCAACTGCAAAGGGGGCTTTTCAGCACCCCCTTCCCCCATAGTTTTCACTATATTACAGCAAACACATTTTAAGCACCTCCTGCGTGCATCGCCCAGAGGAAGGCATTGTAAATCTAATACCAGGATGTTAATTTAGGAAAAATGAACCTACTTAAGATGAGTATTTTCATTATAACACCTTCGATTTCCTGAGAACCCACTGCAGGCAGCGGGCTTAAGGCTTGACGTGCAATATCCCACAGATTTAACCCTCAGAGCATAGGAAGCTGAGTAATTATTACATCAGCCTGGCAGAAGAGGAGAATGAAGCTTGGAGAGGTTGACAGGGTCTATCTACCTGCAAGCTTGTGTTTCTCCATGGCCGCTCTGGAGACCGCTCCAGACTTTCTATGTATGTGAGAAGCCCAGGGAAGGGCAACCTTTTTGGAATGGAAACTTCATGGATTTGTTCTGCCTATTTGGGGTGGCAATCCGCTGGCCCTGCTAAGGGTATTTCTTTTTCTTTATTTTTGGGGGTCGGTATGTTATTTTAAGATGCTAATGGAGACGGGTGGGTTTGAAGACAAATGGGTTTTTTCCTTTTTTACGCAGTGGAAAGCTCGCTCAACACTGTCTCTAGAAGTCCAGCCTTGCAGCCTCCGAAAGAACTGGTGCACGTGCTGGCGGCGGGGAGAGGGCGCCCGGGTGGCTCTTTGAGTCGGGGAGATCCCTTCCGGAATCGCAAAAGTCAAATTGGGTCCCGGGCTCGCGGGGCGGGGCGAGCTGGTGGGGGCGGAGCCAGACACGGCCACGCCCCCAGCCGCCCGGAAGTGACGTGAGCGGACAAAGGCAGCGCGCGCCACGAGCTGTGGCGTGTAGTCCCGGTTTGGCGTAGTTGCCGTGGGCTTGTGGCGTCGCCGCCGCCGCCGCAGCTGCCGGCACTCTCCCTTCCTCTTCCCCGTCCTCTTCTCCTGGGTCCCGGGAGCCCCTGCCCGGGGTGAGTAGCGGGAAGCGGCGCGGAGGGGAGGCAGCCCCGGGAGAGGGGAGGCCGCGACCCCCAACTGCCTCGGCGCCCGGAGGCCCCGGCTCGTCACGTGACCCAGGCGCGTGAGCGCTTGCCGGTCCGGGCCCCACGTGCGCGTCCCCAGGAGGTCCTTAGGCCGGACCTGGATAGGGACATTGGGAGTCCATGGTTGAGGTAGAAGAGTAAAGCCAAGGCACCCAAAGCCTGAGTGCGGCACTCCCCCACGCCGGTGTCCAGGCCACAGCAAGTCCCTTTCTCTCCCTGAGCCTCAGTTTTCCTCCTGAGAAACGGGAATTAGGAGAGCACCCACTCGGAGGGCGGGTGTGAGGAATCAGTAGAAGGCCCAGCTCAGAGCCTGGCACAGTTAAGTGTCCGTGGCATAGCAGTTGGTATCGTATTCATCCGTGGGCCTCTCCCCGGCTCTGGCCCGACACAGGTGCAGCTCGGGAGCCCTTGGGGCCAAGGTCAGCCTGTTTGCAGGGAGGCTGCCGTATCGAAAAGCCCAGGCTTTCTGCCCACCAACTGCGTTGTGTTTTCTCTCTCTGGACCTTGGTTCTTCATCTGTACAAGAAGGAGTTGAAACAGGTGGTATCAGAGGCCCTGAAGGTGGGGTGGGACAGTGTAGCAGATGGTTGTCATGTGGAGAATGATTGCCCAGGGAGATGGGATGAGCCCCTGGGAGGGACAAGGAGCCTGGATTCCCTCTTGAATTCTGTTCCTGGTTTCCCGTGTGTGTTTTCATATACTTCCTTTGGTGTGTTCTTTTTTCTGTCTGTAGACTAGGGACTAGGGGTGGGTTGGAGATACAGGTGGAACGTTTTGGTGAAGGTCAGAGCGGTAGGATAACAAGGAGAGCATTTCAGAAATCTCTGCAGTGGTTCAGTGTTTATACGGAGGGGAAGCTCACTTCCAGCCCTGCCAATTTGCCGGGCTGTTGGAGTCTGCTGGATACCAGTTAACTATCCCTTGGGTGTGTCTGACACTCTACAGTTCACATGGCATTTCAGTGCATTTTTCTCACTTGATCCTCACAATTGGCAAAGTTGACAAGAATTTCCTTTGATGGAGTTTCTGAAGCTCAAGAGACAATCTGCTTGGCACTGTGTTGGGCACTGTAAGCTTTTCATATTGCACATTTAATCATCACAGCCTTTACATACAGCCAGTGTTACTGTTCCTGTTGTATAGATAAACTGAGAATGCTGAGGTTAAGTGTCTTATCTGAGCCTACATGGCTGTTGAGCAGAGCTGAGATTCACACCTGGTTCATCTGACTCCATCAGACTCTGTTAGGTTTTAAATTTTTCCCTACTTTTTTTTTTTTTTTTTGGTCTATGTCCCTCTTTTTTTTTTTTTTTTTTTGGTCTATGTCCCTCTTTCCCACCACTTCTTTTTCATAGAGCACTCTGCCATTCTCATATGTTCAGCTGCTGTCCACACGGATCTAGGGAGAATAGGTGGACTGCAAGAGGGAGGAGGTAACTTTAGGCAGGCTTTTGCCTCCTGTTGCTTTTAGGCTTTTCTTAGAGACTTAGAAGAGGAGGATGGCATGACTGTGCAAATGTCAGCCAGTGAGTTCAAGCTCCATCCTCTACTGTGGATCCTGGAGACGGGAAGCAGTGGCTGGGGCAGCTGCCTGGGTGTTGCCCTAAACAGCTTGGAGGGGGAGGAGGAAGAGGCCAGGTGACCGTGAAGGATGCAGGATCGCATTCTACTGGCTGAGCAGACATTTACTGTAAGCAGAGTGTTTCGTCGCTGAGCTAGCCTAGTGTGCACACAAAGCCAGGCTGTGCCCCTGGCCCCTTCCCAGGCCCTGCAGCCAGGTAGCTTCCTGCTGTGTGGCTGACCGACCTTGCTGTTCCTTCTGACTCCTAGCAACCTCCTGCCCCACTCCAATCTGGACACCCAGAGGCAAAGCATAGACAGGACCCTAGGAATCATGTTTATTAATGAATCAGCTGTTAGAGCAAATGTCAGCTATACTTGCTGTTTCCCGATCTAGCTGTGCCTCCCCTGGCTTGTTCCTAGAATCTGCATGTAAGTGGAATTCTTGTAAATTGGATTATTCGGGGGACTTTGACATGTAAACGAATCATGTTGTAAGGCTTTTGGTAAAGCAAAAAATTATATTGTTGGTAACAGCCTTCAGTGTTATCAGTTTTGAATGGTTGGACTTTGTAGGATTTTCTTAAAAGTGGAAAATGGCTATAGCTGCACAAAGCCAATTCTTTCATTCATTTGACAACCAGTTAGTAAATGCCCACCTTGTATCAGGCAGTGGGCTAATGGTGTACAAAGTAATGTCCCTGCCCCCTAGGAAGCTTGCATCTTGGGAGGGGAGGCAGACAGACAGAGAAGAGTACAGCCCGGTAAGTGTTGGGCTCAAATTTATTCTGTTCATTTGGTTAGAAGTGAACTTTTTGTTGAATACCTGTGTGCTATGTGGGATGCAAGAGAAATACAGTGATAAATCTTGGATGTTGCCATTGCTCTCTAAGGAGTTCCTGGTCCTGTGGGGAGATAGATTTGAATACAAAACCTTCGGTTTGCCACGACTGGTGGGCGGTAAGGGAGGGAGGGCTGAGCTCGACTGGGAGTTGTGCCGGTGTGGTGTGGAAGAGTTGGTTTTGATGCTGTCCTCTGCTTGATGGATGGAGGAGCTGTGACATGGTAGCCATGGTGCCTGTGGGCATGGGGCAGGCAGCCCACTTGGCCTGTGTCCTTAACCCTCTTGACCCATGACATAAGTAGCCCCCAGACCTAGCTACATGGCGACATTCAGGCTAGTGGCCCCTTTTCCTGTCAGCTCTCAAAGTCCACCCTGGCACACCTACCAGTCTTAGGGATTGGCAGGTCTGGTTGGAGCGAGCGTTCATTCTTGTAAGCAGTGTGCCCCTTTCTCTTTCCAGGGGTGCGGTTCCAAGTGCTAGGACGCTGGTGTGGGGGCATGGTGGTGAGCCTGCAGTATTTAGAGTGAAGTTCCTCCCCGGGCCTGTTACCCAAAGGACTTCTCGATTGGTGCAGTGATCGCAGCTTGTCTTCCTCGTGGCCCCAAACCCTTGTGCCCGAACAGCGAAGTGAGGGGATCAGTCTGGAGTTGCCTCAAGAGTCTGAAGCGGGATCTCAGTAGGCTCCTCTCCGGGCACAGTAAAAGGGTTCCGTTAAGGGTGGAAACAGTGACAATCACAGAGCTGAGGAGAACCAGACTCTGGTGGGCACACGGATGTCCTCAGCTCTCTTCTGGTCCCTCAGGAGGCCAGTGTATGACCGTGTCTGTGAAGGATGCCTGAAGGTGCTGACGGCGCCAGGTCTGGCGGTGGAGAGGAGCGGCTCTCAGCGGCCACGGTGGGCCCTTCCCTCGTGCCCCCCTGGCTGGCAGGGTATCTGGAAAAGGCTGACCAGTGACAGAAGCAGAATGGCATCAGTTAGCATTCTCGAGCTGCTGGGCTGGGCCGGACCTGCTGTTTCTGGAAGGTTCCTTCTCAGGACAAGTTTGGAGTACAGTTGTGCACTGGGGGCTACCAAATGTGACCAGTGAAAATTCTTCAGATTTTTTCTTGTTTTTTTTTCTTTTTTTTCTCTCTGTAGTCCGTCAGTCACGTTTCCCCGGCCTTGCGCTGCTCCTCAGGGGCCCTTTTCTGCTTCCTCTCTGGCTACTCTTGAAGCCCTTAAAGCAGCAGTCCCCGGCCTTTTGGCACCTGGGACCAGTTTCGTGGAAGACAGTTTTTCCACAGACTGAGGGTGGGGGAGTGGGGTGTCGTTCTGGGTGCAGGTGGTGCGGAGCTCAGGAGGTGATGTGTGGCCCGTTTCGTAATGGGCTGCGGCCCGGGAGTTGGGCACCACAGCCTTAAAGCATTCCTTGGTCTTAGGGTTTTTAAACTTTTAGTTGTTTTTAAGGACCGTACTGGTTGTCCTCGTGGGGATCAGTGACTTACTGCAGCCCCATGACGTGCACAGTCCTGGACTTCCAGCGGTTCGGCTTCAGCGTGCGGACGGACACACCGCGCTTCTCTGGTGCCGGATGGCAGCGACGAGCCGCAGCTCCCAGTCAGCCAGGGTCTTCCGTTTACAGTGTGTCCAGCTCACGCGCAGCAGCTGCTGTCGTTGTCATTCCCCTACCGCTACTTGTCCTGCATCCACTAGCTGGCCACTGCCATTCCCACTCTGCCTCCCTCAGGCTAGGGCCCAGCACAGCCACTCGCCCTTCAGAAATTCAGTTGACGAGTTTGCCATTATGGACAGACTGGACCCGTGGCACCTGGCACTCAGGGCCCACCATAATCCAGGCTCATCTTCCGCAGCGTCCTCTTCCTTTCATCCTCTGATGGCACACTGTCACACCACCTCTACCTCTTCCTGTACCCTCCGTCCAGCATTCCTTGTCCGTCAAGGCCCAGCCAGGGGCTGCCGCCCTCTGGGCTGCTGCCCCTGTCTGCCTTTTAAAAAGGATTCCTCTACCCTTTGACTTTTCCCACCATCTTATGACTCATGGTCCCCATTTTTCTGCTGTGTATTTTAGTTGGTGCCATTTTCTTTCCTGTCGTGTAGTGGACTGTGAGCTTTCTGGGGGTCAGGGCTTTGTCTTGACAAGCTTCACAACAAGGACAGTGCCTGTGTGTGGTAAGCCTTGGTTGATAAGTGCCAGTTCCTCAGGGAAGGGATGTGATCCTCTGTCCCTCCCTGACATGATGTGGCTGGGCTGGCTCTGTGTGGAGCGTCGGGCCACCAAGCTGTCATCCCTCTCCTGAAGGGCTTGGTGGGCCCCAGCTCTGCTCCTGGGCCCATCATGCTCTGTCGTTTTCTCTCTGTCCGTTCTGGCAACAATCTCCTTGTCGGTGTCTGCTTTCGCCCTTGGCCCCTACGATGTACACAGCTGCCAAGTCTTCAGAATCCCAGATCTTCTCATGCCACTCCCAGCTTAGCCTTAGGGTGGTTAGAGCTCATGCTCTTGAAGTTGACCCGTAAGACCTTGAGATTCCAGTCGCAAGGGCTCTGCACATCCTTTTCTTCCAGGAGCAGCATTCTCACCCTCCGTCAGTTCCAGCTGCTGTGTTATTTCTTTGGGGATGCCTTCCTTAACCCCCACCGAGTCAGCTCCCCGGAGCGGGTGCCTTTCTAGCGTCTCACACTCCGCAGCCCTCACCGCGGTTGTGGTTGTGTGTGTCTGTGTAGTTGTTTTCTGCCTGGCTGTGCCCCCGGTTCACAGCATGGTGCCTGCCAGAGTCCCTGCTTCCCATTAAGGAAGGACTGGACCCCACAGTGAGTTGTTTCTGTGCCGAGTGGGAGGGAGAGGGTGTGGGAACTCCTTAGACCCTCCCAGGGTCTGCTGTCGCACCCTCCTCTGTGGTCCTTTCTCTTCAGTGTAGATCGGGGTTCTCTGTCCCCTGGGCCAGAAGCCAGAGTCAGGTGTCATGTAGAGCATGTCAAGAACTCAAAGCCAGGATGCTGGGGCTCATGCTTTGAGCACACAAGACAGTAGGCGCTGTCATCCCAAGGGGGGAAGCAGATTTGGGGATACTGGACATTCCTCTGTGCTGGGCAGGATTGTGTGACTTTTGAAGCCTGGTGTGAGACTGGCCCTCTGCCTGTGGGGCCTTCCTGCCAGGTCCCCGGCTGGGCTGATTCACTCCTCTTTTCCTTACGCAGGAGAGGTGCCATTGCTGATTGTGGTGCTTGAGCAGAACCTTGGTTGGTGACAGCATGACGAGTGAGGTGATAGAAGATGAGAAACAATTCTATTCGAAGGCCAAGACATACTGGAAACAGATCCCACCCACCGTGGACGGCATGCTTGGGGGGTATGGCCACATCTCCAGCATCGACATCAACAGCTCCCGGAAGTTCCTGCAGAGGTTTTTGAGGGTAGGCAGGTCTGGTGTGCTCTCCAGGAGAAGCTGTGGCTCTGGTGGCACTGCTGGGTCTGTGTGAGGTGCCACCTTTTATATGTAACACTGCTGCAGGGTCTTTGGTTACCTGTTGGTACCTACCCCAGGGCCTTGAGCTGGGGTGGTAGGGTGACTTCTGGACTGTGGACTTAGCTTTAAGGTTATCAGACAGCAGCTGGCTGATATGGCAGAATTGAGGCGCCAGCATTGGGCAGACTTCTCTCAAACTGTTTGGTTTCACCAGGGACAAAACCCTTGCTCTCCTGCCATGTGCGTGGGTGTCTGGGCTTTGGCTGTTCTGCTGGACTCAGACTCCTAGTTATTAACCGTGGGTTCTGCCTCACCTCTCCCACCCCCCACCCACCTCTGTACCAGGCTGGGATCCCCACAGCTGGGGTCCCCGGGCCTGCCCCTTTCTTGTCTCTCCCTTGGCCAGCACTGGCGGCTGCTGCTTGCCCCACTCCATCCGGCATCACCCCTCCATCTGCTTTCCATCTCCCCAGCCTTGTTACCAATTGGCCCCTCTGCCATTCTTCTGTCTGGAATTTCTTCTCTGTGCTGTTGTTTTCCTGGGGTCTCAGGAGAGATTAGTGCACCTGTTCAAGTTATCACCTTGAAGTAGATAGAAGTGGCTTTCATTTTAGAAAGGTGTGGCCCAGAAAAAGAATGTCCCATGCTCACCACCCCAATCCCCGGCCTCCCCAGCAGTGCTGGCCGCCAGCTTGTACTGAGGCCTTATTTGAGTCTTGTTCCCAGGGCTCATGAGGGAGGGTCCCTTTGGTAGGTCATATGCCTTCTCTGTCTTTTAGGAAGGCCCGAACAAGACAGGAACTTCCTGTGCCCTGGACTGCGGCGCTGGCATTGGAAGGATCACCAAGCGACTGCTCTTGCCGCTGTTCAGGGAGGTGGATATGGTTGACCTGACAGAGGACTTTCTGGTTAAAGCCAAGACCTACCTGGGGGAGGAAGGCAAGAGGGTGAGGAACTACTTCTGCTGTGGTCTCCAGGACTTCAGCCCGGAGCCGGACTCTTACGACGTGATCTGGATCCAGTGGGTGATAGGTGAGGGTCCTGCTGCCCTTACCTGCACATCTCCTGCCACGTGGGTTCCCCACACGGCCTTGGGAGCGGGCTCTATGCTCCTGCAGCAGGCGGGCCCGCAGGGATCCCCCTGTGCTTTCCAGGACTCTGGGGGGAGACTCTGCCTGAAAGGTGGATCTCCTCCTCCTAGGTTTTGTTTCAACTGAATACCTGCTACCATCCATTTGGGGGCAGTTTTCTGTTGAAACATTTTAAATGGCCGATAACTTACCACATTCAAAGAAGGGAAAATGAGTTGTATGAGGATTTTTTTTTTAATGAAAAATGTAAGCCATGGCTGCCCCTGCTGTTTGCAGTGAGCAATCCCTGCTTTGATACCCCCGTCCTGTGTCTACTTGCCCTAATAGCACACCTAGAATGCTGTGCCCTGGTGGCAGGCCACTGCACTAGTAGACAGCCTCCACCTCCAAAGCGGGCAGCACAGCTCTGCTGTGGACATTCTGGGTCTGGCCCTAAGAAGCCTCTGTGTGGACTGTTAACGCAGGGCAGGAGACCTGCCGTAGGAGCTCCGGCAGTGCCATGACCTTAGCCCACGTACACTCCCCCGATCCAGGTCTAGAGAGGTGGGTGGCATAGTGTGTAGGTAGTGGGCAAGGTCAGCTTCGTACTTAGTGTGCCTTTGGGTAGGTGACTTGTGAGCCAGTTTAGTAAACCCTTGAGGACTGCTGGGAGCCAGGGAGGCCATGTGTGTGCACCAAATGCCGGGCACAAATGAAGGGCTCAGTGAGCAGTGGCTGGAAAGCGCATCCCATCCTGTGGCCTGTGTACATTTGCATCTTTCCCCTGGTAACCTTGCCTCTGCCCTCCCCAGGCCACCTAACAGATCAGCACCTGGCCGAGTTCCTACGGCGCTGCAAGGGGGGCCTCCGCCCCAATGGCATCATCGTCATCAAAGACAACATGGCCCAGGAGGGCGTGATCCTAGATGACGTGGACAGCAGCGTGTGCCGGGACCTTGAGGTGGTCCGCAGGATCATCCGCAGTGCAGGCCTCAGCCTCCTGGCCGAGGAGAGGCAGGAGAACCTCCCGGATGAGATCTACCACGTCTACAGCTTTGCCCTGAGATAAGCCTGGGCTGGCAGGAGAAACTGAGGAACCACAGCCCAGGTGAGGGTTGCTGGCAGTTGGGTGAGATCCAGGCTCCACGCTGATGGTTCGGAATGTTGAGAGGCCGCTAAATATACCTGTCTGCCGTCTACTCACTATACAGACTCTTCTTAAAAAGGCAAGGTGGGGCTCATGGGGAGGAGTGCTACTGAGTCCACAGTGAGGCAAGAGCCTGGCCGCGCTGTGCTGAGAGGTGCGGACTGGGTGGTAGGGGCTGGGGGTGCAGCCCAGGGGGCTCCAGCTGCTCCCTACGTGGGAATGCAGTGATCACACCAGGAGCTGGTTCCCTGGGTCCCCAGTCTTCCTTCCAGCCACAGGCCTGGCTGTAAGAGGAAGGGAATGAGCCTTAACTTGGGGGTGGAGGACTTGGACTGTGGTCTTTACTTAGGGGGAGGAACGGAGCTGGGCAGGTGGGTCTCATGGGCATCTGTCCAATTGCTTGTGGGAGTGTTCGCGTGCCAAGCCCTGTTCAGTGATGGGGTCCTGGTGGCGGTCACAACAGCCTGCAGCAAGGGGAGAGGTCTGTGGCCTTACTCTTCACTGGGCTTGGGGCTCCTTCTCGGCGGGCATTTTCAGTGAGAAATAAAAGGGTGAGCCCTCGTACTGTGAAGGCCCCAGCCCGTCTGGAGTGGTGCTTCTTTACAGGGACAAGTGTCACATATGCCCCCAAATGCTGCATCTGCTCCTGCCTACCACGTCTTCTTCCTGTACTGGCTGCCGTGGGATCCTTTATCCTAAACTGGGGAGGGGAGGGGCAGAAATGTCATACAAGGACCTTTAAGGCCAAGAGAATCAGTTTAATTTTATAATATAAATATATCATTTAGTTACCTTAGCTTATGCCCAAAGGCATTTACACAAGCCACAACGACCAGTGCGACCTGGACGTGAGTTTGTGAGGCCTCCACGCTGGGCGGTGCAGTCAGCTGTCTTGGTGGCTTGCTGTGTCTGGTGAGCCCCTCACAAAACGAGATACTTCTGAAAGGGTTGTTCCTGGTTGTGCCCTCATGATTGCTTTTAGCAGAAGCCATGGTCCCCGAGGCCCTGGGTTTGTCCTGAGCAGAGCTGCCACGAGAGCACAGCCCTGATAGGCGGGGCCACAGGTGACCCAGCCCCAGAGCTGTAGGTGGTGGCAGGGTCAGCTCAGCTTTCAACACCAGGAAGATGGGCCTGTGGCGGCCCACAGCGCCTTCTCCCCCAGTTCACCAAAAGCACTTCTGCGAGTGGCAGAATCTGGAGTGAAGAGAGGCAGGAGTAGGGCCTCGTCGGGTGCCACCCACAGGGCACACCCCTGGCTTCCTTCCGGCTCCAGCTGCGCCTCCACACAGGACAAACCAGGTTCCTGTAGCTCCTGGGGATGCTTAGACCTGGCACTGCCTCAAATTCAGAGGGTACTGGTCCAAAGTCTAAATCCTGTCCCTTTTCCAGTGTGGGCTGAGACTTGGGGAAGGGGACAGTTTTCCTGAAGACACAGAGCCACACCTTTTACCACTGGGATGATTATAGCTGTGGCTTCTGCCTGGCTGGCTCTGTACTCATAAAGGGTGCATCTCATCTCCCAGATCAAAAGACCCTGCCCCAAGGCTGTCACGGGCACTCAAATCCATCACAGGTTGACTTAAGCTGCCCACACCCTGTTCCCTTTAGTCCAGCCCTGTCAGATGTCATCTTCAAGGGTGCCGCTGTGCTCGCTGAGAAGGTACCACTTCAGCTGGTCAGGTAGAGGCAGGGCTTTGACCTTCACATCCACAGGCCACGGCTGAAGGTAGAGGCGGATATACACACGACACAGATGCTTGAGGGGCGGGGGATAGCTCTCCAGCTGCCTCAAGGAGAAGTGGAGGGCCTGGATCTTTTCTGCCAGGCTGCCTACCGGGTGGATATTAAAGTTTTCAGGCAGTTGGAGTTTCTGGGAGTTAGTCACCATGAGGTCCAGGACAGTCTCGGCTTTGCGCAGGAGGTCCACATGGCTCTCGTCTTCGGCGCAGCCTGGGTGGGAACAGAGCCTCTCGAAGATGATGTGAAAGCCAGACCAGCAGGACGCACCATGGAGGGAACAGTTGTAGGCAGCGCCAGACTCCAGCAGGAAGCGCAGGAGAGGGAAATGCAGTTTAAAGCTCTTGAGGCAAATATGGGTGAGGGATTCGTGGGCTGGGCATTCGCTGGGGTCTGCCCCATGAGCCAGCAGCAGTTGCGTTACTTGGAAGCAGAAGCGGTTTATCATCTGGGCCTCCTCTTTGTCCCCTCCCACGGTCTCACCAAGCAGGAAGATGATGCAGGTGAACACGGTGTCCCCATCTTTGGTGGTAGCCTTGACATCTGCCCCTAGAGGAGCCATTAGAACAGAAGGTGGGAGAAGGCCTTCGCCTTGCACAGCAACACTACGTGGTTAAGGGAGTCGGGGAGCCTGCAGAGAGTGAAGTGGTGAGAAAAGGGGGGACACGGGACAAGCCTCACCTCCTTCCAGCAGGAGCCGGATGTTCTCAGTATTGTGGATCTGCACACCGTCGCTGCTGGCCAGAGCGTGCAGCAGAGCAGTCTTTCCTAGGGAGCGGGGAGGGAGAATGAGACGAGTGGGAAGCCGGGAGCCTGGTCAGGGCAACCCAGAGATGGGTGGAAAGCAGACACTCCGTCAGAAAATGAACTTCAAAAGGACTGAGCTCTCACAGTGGGCTCTGCGGGAGACAGGCTTCTGGCCATTCTCCTTCCACCCCCACAAAACTTGGAGCAGAAGGGCCAGTGGAGGTAGGATTTTTCTGGCCCTGAGATGCTACCTGAGACCCAGGCTGGGTCTCCCAACAGGAAGCCATTGTTCCCTTAGAAGCTGAGTGCACACATACCCCTTTTCCTCCTATAGGCAGCCCTCGAGGGCCAGCCTGGGGACAATGCACTGCCTCTCGAAAGCCTCTGAACTCGGCAAGTCAGCAAAATCCACCTGTGGACCCAGCCATGCTGTGTCATCAGACAGGGCCAGTCTCCAGCCTGCCCTCACTGATGTCCTGGAGTACACAGGGTGTCCCTTACAAAGTGCCCAGGGCCCAGGCTGTCCTGCAGGAGGACCCACCGTGCTTGTCAGCTGCATTGACGTCGGCACCAAGGTCCAGGAGGCGCTGCAGGCAGGGCAGGCGCTCTGGCTCTTCGCTGGCCAGGTCCAAGGGGCTGCTCTCATGGATCTGAGCCGGGGGAGCACAAGCCAGGTTGGCCTGGGGGAATGTGGTGGGGCCTACGAGGCTGCTCGGGCCCCTACACATCCCCCTTCAAAGCAGGCAGGACCTGGCACTCACCCGGTCCCTTCGATTGATGTCGGCCCCGTGCTGCACCAGCAGCTGCACCATGTCCGGCTGATTCCGCAGGACGGCGATGTGCAGGGCCGTGTAGTAGGTGACTGGGTCTGAGGGCACAGACACAGCTTGTGTCAGTCCTGCCTATCGGCATTCTCACAACGTGTCCGGGCCTGGCCTCAGGGCCCAGCCCCAGCTCTCACCTGAAATGTCCAGAAGCTGCAGGCCCAGGCTCCTGTCACCACTGGGGTCAAGACAGGGCTGTCCTCACCAGATGCTAAGATCCTGGGGGTGTTCTGGTGGGCATGCTACTCAACCTGTTTGGGCTTTGGTTTCCTCTTCTGTAAAACGGTGCCATAAAATGGGGCATCTCCTCTCAGGACTGTTGGGACCCTCTGGGTGGCAGCTCCTGGCTGCTCTGCTCCTTGAGCCTGGCACCAACAGCGAGAATTCCGATGGGCCTCCCTCCTTAGCTCCTCGAGCTTCCGGGAGCCCAGCAGCCTCTGAGCCCATCCTCAGTGGGGAGGGAGACATGCTTGGCTGTATCCTGGGTGCACACAGGCCCGTGTTCAGTCACAAGGCAGCCTGTCTCCTGACTGGCCCTGCCCTGCACCGGTGAGAGCCAGAGGAAAGGAGGACAGCTCCGTCACGTCCTCGGCACTCACAAGCCAGAAGCTGACAGGGTCCTGCTGTGATTTATGCCTAATGTGGTTTATCTGTTTCCTCCTCTCCTTGTGGCATGAGCAAAAACGCAAATTGGCTCAGAGTAAGTGGCAGAAAATTACCTTCCCTCAGCTCTGGGCACAGTGCCAGCAGCCGCATTTTCACATTAATGGAAGTGAGGATTAATCTGGGAGCTGGGAAAGTTTGCTAAATCACACGGTAGAGACAGCAACACACTGGCTCTTGGAACAGACGAGATAAGAGCCATTTGAAAGCCCACAGGGGGTTGGGAGACCACCCAGTGGGGGTTTCTTTGGTGGTCACTACACAGGAAGTAAATGAGGGAAGTCACTCCTAAGAGGACGATACAAGCAAGGGCGGAAGACCTGTTCACCCACTTAGAGCAGAGCCACACTCAAGCTGCCTGCCCACCCCCAGGCCCTCTGGGCTCTAGCTGACCTTCAAAGTTGAGATTGGCCCCATTCCGCAGAAGAACGTCTGCTGCCCGTGTCAGCCCCAGTTCAGCCATCTTGAGCAGGGCATTGCTCACACCTTCCTGGTAAAATGGAGAGTGGGCCTTCCTCTCCAACAGCTCAGTGAGAACAAGGAGTCGGCTCTCCTCGTTGGCAACATAACTAGGCCTGGAGCAGGAGACAGACAGTTGAGGTTAGGCACAGCTGTAGCACGAGCTGAGCCAGGCACCCTGTGGGTGGGCAGCCTTTAGTGTCCTGCTGTAGTCACCCACCAAGGCAGGGCCCTGGCTTTGTAGGGGCAGAAAGTCTCTCTTGGGAGAAAGTCTAAAGTGGAGAGAGGGCCAAGCTGGGTCTTTTAAACTGGAGCTGACGCCTGGGTTTGCTGAGAAAGGACTGGCTGGCTGCAGTCTTATCCCAAGTTGCCCAAAGAACCTGTCTCTGGCTTGGCTGTTGGGACTGAAAGGAACCCCTAAGGCCAGGAGCCAGAACCAGTCTCTGATGCTCCTTCCTCAGAAAGCCCTTCACACTCTTAATACCCAAGCTCTCCCTGAGCTGCAGGACGCCAGGGCAGCCAGCAGAGCCTCCTCCCTCCCCTCCCACACAGACCTTCAGCCTCGCTCCCAGTCTTCCCAAGGGGGGTGCACAAAGGCCCCTCGCATCCCAGCGCCAGCCCACCTG